AAGACACTAGGTGTTCGGTCGAAACGGTGGAAACAAAATCGTCACTCCCAGAATAACTATGCAAAATAACGATCTAAAGTCGAACCATTCGAGCCACAATATTAACATCAAAATGACTTTCGTTGCATTTGACAATGATAAACTTACCGTAAAGCCGTGTTATTCTCGGTCGCTAACGTCGGTGTAATCCACCATTTTATTTGAGTGTTTGCCACCCGACTCCGCCCGGTGACGTCATCATGTGCGCCATAGAAGGAGGTCTGTGATTCGTTGACTAAAATCGTCGATAGTGGGTCTCGTTGAAATCTCGTTACATAGGCATCGGCTCAGATGTAGGTAGGGCGGAATTAAAAAAATCACAAAATCAAAATCAAAGTAAAATAATAAAATAAAATAAAATAAAAGGGCATTAATAACAAAAGTAATAAAAAATAAAATTAAAATAAGTTTATAGCCAAAATAATTAAAGCCCGTACACTACATCAGATTTTAATCAGATTGGGAAAACCCTATCTTCCCAACCTGGTTGCACCGCTGAATTGCAGTACTCCCTCTTGCAGTTTTTTTCTAGAAAATGGACTCCCTCAAATTTCTATTGATCCCTAAAAATCACAAACCATTGTAGGTTAGAGGACACACTGTAACAACCCATCTTCAACAAAATTACTTCTTTTGTGACTACATAATACAATTTTGAAATATAGTTAATCGGAATGTTACTGCTACATACTAGTAATTTAAATATTCTTCGAAGTTTTTTGGTTTTTAAATTAAAGTAGCATATGCAGACTTTACTGTTTCTAATTCTCCAAATGCATAGAATCTGCTTTATAACTGAGCCACTTGTTGATTACCCATGAGACGGGTAAGAATGATACTTGATTTTAATTGCAGATAAACTGTATGCAAAAAATCACATTCTTTCATTGGATGCGTGCGTAAACATTACAATTCTGCAGTTTGTTCTGTTGCATAATACATGAGGCGTTATTTTCTGCTCTGCTTAATGAATATATTAGATCCTTATTATAAAACGGCAATATAGACACTGTGGCAATTTTTAACACTAATTGTCAATTACAAAACAAATAATAATGCATTTTATTCAAAATAAAAATGTCATTCCCCCTTAAACTACCTGACACAAATCACTGAAATAAAACAGCAATGCTAACCAAACAAATGAAGAGCATAAAAACATAAACAACCTCTTGAATATAATCCAAGCATGAATCACTTGAATAAAATGTTCTAAATATGAACAGTATACATACCTTTTCATTGATAGGAAACAATAATAAAACAGCTGCTACTGGGGACGGTACCATACCAAGTAAATCTGGGTCTAAACCATAAACATCACAAAACTGCCAAGATTTGGACATTCCTAGTTGATGAACAAACTACAAACATACACAAAAAGATAAACGATACAGATATATAATTCTAGGCATCAAACGGATTATTATTTAAATATTAATACTATTTATGTAGCAAATGCATGATGCTTAATTCAATATTAATAATACTGTTAAATACTTAATTTTCGCTATTTTCACTGAAGGAATGATTCAGTGAAAATAATTAAAATCCAGTGAATATACCCTTTTTCCTATATTTTACATTCAATTTGTCAGAAATCAGTGAAAATAAATACCATACAAAACACCTAATAAGTCTTTTCAAAATTAATTCCAGCCAATGTAATTTACAGAAGTTATAAAGTCAATTTAAAAAAAGAGTAACAGTCAACAGTTACATCACAATGCAATGATATTACAAATAAAGAAACAATGTCGCTAAATATTTCTTTACATCCACATTTGATAAATTTGTTCATAACAATTCCACACAATTATATGCATGATAATAGTGAATTTATCACTGTTTGTCATGCAGATTGCTGCTAGATGTAAAGTCATAAATATTTGTAAACACCTGAGACTTCGCTGTCAGAGCAGACAACTTTACAAGGGGTGATTTGCAGTTTACATCTTTTATTATTCGACATACTTGACAAACATAAGTATCAGTTTATTGAATGTAATGTCAGTTAAAGCGTTAATCATTAGAAATTTTGGGAGATTTCGAAAAATTCGCCACTGAAACTTTATTGAAAAAAAAAGATATACGAGAAAAAAAATGCGGACAAAAATAGTCATGAACGCATGGATTTGACTGAGGATAGAAAAAGCTGCAACAACATTACGAGAAGAAAATTGTTCTAGTTTTAATTCCACGGCTTCTAATGGTCAATCCCCTCAACAGCGCTGTGTTACGACAATTTCATTTTGCTTTTGCTCGTATTTTGGAATATTTAATATTAATTCAACTTCCGTTATACGTGTAATTAGCATAACAGACGAAGTATATCATAATAATGAGTTCCTCGTGTCTGAACATTATAAAGTTCTCACATTTTTAAAACACTCAAACTAGCAAAAATATCGAGTTTGCTCGGTCATTTTTCGTATAGAGTCACATGTACAGTCAATAACATTCTGGTTCAACACGGCAGCGTGGTCTAGACATTATAATGAATGAAACGTGCGAATTCATTTCGATTTGAAAGTGACTTGACAGAATCAAGATGTCGGTTCTTACCTTGTTCATCACCTGAAATTAACAGAAAAAAATAAAATAAAAATGTTAGTGCACTAAATGAGAACAGCATATGGTACAGTAAATACGACGGGTACGTCACTGTGAAAATAAATAAGATAAAACGCTTACATCTGGATTGGATTCGAGCGGTAACCATCGTGGTTTGGAAGCCATGTTGCCTGCTAACTGAACTACCTAGGTTACTCTTTATTATTCACAAAGTTTCAGGACAGTTTCCGGTTAATAAAGTAAATTTGCATTTGAATTAAAGTAACAAAACCCCAACCTATGATAAAATCATTAATTCATCATCTAGCAAGAGTTTTTTTTTTATTTTTTTTTGTTGTTTTTTAAATAATTTAAGTAATGTTCTTGAATAAGCTGGATTCAAATTTGAATGTTTTGGTGTAAAGTAGAAAGCTTCCTCTAAAATTTGAGTGAAAGCATGATTATTATATTAAACAAAACATAAATGTTAATAATTTATTATCAATAAATTCTATCCTTGAGACAACCATAACAATATTAGGTACAAGAATAATCAAATTGAAAAGCTTTCTGGATGACTCCAACCGAGGGGGGGGGGGTGATAAGGTGTGCTTGTCTATAGGCCATTCTTTCTATAATCTCCGAATTCGTTTATAGAATTAGGGTGATATTTTTATTCATGGCTGCTTTGAAATGATACAAACATAATTTATTGCAAACTTAATTCTTTATTTCAAATTATTTTAATATTCATGTTTTACATTTTAATGTGCAACAATTTGGGCCATGTCTCAGTCTTATAAATCCCATTTGGTGAAAGGTGCCCATCCAATAATCATCAAAATTTATGTTACAAATGGTATTAAACTAGCGATGTTGAGGCCAATGTGACATTTGGTGTTATGTAATTTGTGATGCATTTTTACATATACTGTAGTAATCCCAAACTACTAGATGACTCATCTGAATTTAAATAATTCCTATCTTGTGCATATTATTTATGTTTCCCTTGCATAAATGATGCACACGAGTTGAGAACACGTGGTTGTACTTTACCCAAGGCGACCATGACAACAACTGCATGTAATTATACAGGAGAATGTTCTAGATTATCAGACTATATGTCAACTCTCAGTTCATGGCTATAATTTTTATGATTTTGCCACTTTAAATGAATACAAATAAAATAGTAAAAAAATCAATAATTATTTATTTATTTATCAATCAATAAGTCTTTGCCGAGAATATATTATAAAACACCTTTTCTACAATATGTAGTCATATATTAATCAAATAATCAAATACTTTATTAAAACATTTTTGTGAATAATTTAAATATATTTTACCAACATCTCAAGTGAGCCTTACTAAATGTACATGGCTTAAAACATTAATTGCATTAACCCAATGAATTGAACATTATAAACATAGTGAAACTATGGTAAGCTTTCCCTGATAACACAATGTTAATTATTAATATGTTCTCATGTGAACAGCAAAAATCATTGAAAAATATCTCAAATCATCTATCAAATACGATTGCAATAAATATTTTTCAAATATATAATTATTTTATTACTATTATAAATTATCTTTCAAATTACTCCCCACATATAGATACTATAAAATTGTATTATGAAAACATTGATATACCAAACTTGACATTTACTCAAGCGTTCTCCATTAATTCGCCCATCTAGTGCATTTTCTAAAAATAATTATTCATTGCATCAATTAAGTTCACACTAACTTTTTTTGCATATGCATATGTACAGAAATTACTTATATCAAGAGAATTTTAAAAAATTATGCATGTTGCAAAACTGGTGGCAGCATCATATTTATTTATTACACTCACCATCATAATTTGTTGAGTTCGTAACACATTTTACCATGAATGATTTCAACAAAATCGTATCTTTACACTTCACTCACGACATATTACTATTGACATGTGACAAAAAAAATATTATTTTCTCAATAATGAACAGAAAACATCGTCAGGTTGAAAAGACTTTGGTGAACATAAGGCACCATAGTGTTGATAGCTCAGTTCAATCTTGAACTCAATCATCATCATTTTATATGGCTGCTGTGAATTCACGTCTTTGATTGGATAACTGCTTGATTTCATAATTTCTAATGTGTGCTCCAAGCTTGCCATATCAATGAAGCTAACTCTTTTTGTGTAAATAATACCTTGACAACTTTTCTAATTCATATCATAAATATTTTAAACTAATTAACCAAATATTTCATAAAAATATGTTATTAAACTAATATAAGTAACCAGGTGGGGAAGAGTTCCTTTTGTACCCCCCATCCCTAATCCTAATCCTACCCCTACCCTCAAGCACTCCCCATTTAATTGTACATGCTCCTCCTAAGGACATCTATAGTTATCTCATGGAGGTAATACCTCCATGGTTATCTAGAGAGGGCATATATAAATGAATTGGGTAACTGGGAGTGAGAGTTAGGGTTAGGGATGGGGGGTACAAAAGGAACTTTTTTCGACCAGGTGATTTGAACATAACTATGTTAACCGACAGGGACTTGTAGTTTGAACATATTTAAATATGCAAATGAGTGGTAAGCAAATCTGCTTTGTGTAGTGAAGATATACCAGTATATATATATATATATATTGCAAAGACAGTAATTGTTGCATTTAGTATACATCAAATAATATTTCAAACATCAAATGATACAAACAAAATATAACAGATATTACACTGCGAGTTTTGAAAAATTTATCAATTTGTAAATACTTATAGTTAAGACGATATTGCCAAACAC